CGAATGTAACACATCACTTTTTGGCGCTGGGACCAGAGAGGAGGTTCCTGAGTTGGGTAACCTACTCCCTCTGTGATATTATACACTTCAACTTTAGCCACGTGATGCGTGGTTTATCCACCCAAGAGCCTCACTTCCCCTCCAACCTCCCTCCACCCCCTCCCCAGATGTAGTCGTGTATCGAATCTACAGATAAAGATTTGAACGCAAAATCCTCTATCAATCTAAACACTTGAAATTTACGCAACACCAACATAAAACTGTATTGAATGAAATCACATCCATTTTTACTCGAACAAATCGAAGAAACCTACCTTCAGATTTCAACCATGTCTTCAGAATTCCAATAAAGAAAAAGACAGAACCTTTTCCAACATTCATGAAGTGGAATAAAGGAAAGGAAGATCGAGAGGAATCACGACATGAAAAGGAATATTCTACTGTATTCGTAAAAGTAAGCTCATCGAAAGGAAAATTTTAAGCCTAAAACAACACGCAAACGTTTGCGTGAGCATATCGTTCCCTTTGTCGCTGCATGCAAAGAGGGGAGACATACAGAGACGCGCACACAGAGTCAAATATCATAAAATATGACCGTTGTTTTTATTTTACATTTGTTTCTCATAAGAATTTAAGTGCTGCAGTTCATAGACGTGTTGTTTTGTGTAAAACTTATCGGACGTGCTGGAGTGAGTGTCACAGTCGTACTATGTTGGCTCACAGATGAAAAGTCAGCAAACTTTGGAAGATGGCTATGATTCCTGCCCATGCCACTTGCGTAACTGTAATAAGCTCTATGGTGCCTTCAAGGCAAAATAAACATCTACTGTTCCCAATCGTTTTATGTGCTGAGGATAAACCCACACCCATCTAGAGGGGTGTAATCAACGAACACTACATTTCCCAAAAGATACAGTGGAACATTCTGAATTTGGAACGCCCGAAATGAAACGCTCTCATTTGTTCATATGATCGCGGTACGGCCTGCGTCTTTTTGGCGTGTTCGGCGTAAAGCCTGGTGTGAAACCTGCAGCATAACACTTGAGCTTGCGCCCTTTTTGGGTTATGGTAGCTTTCATAAATGCTGAAGAAGGCTTCTGTAAGAAAAAGGAGATGAACTGATAGAATCGAAGTGCTCGACGTGAAGTGGAGGGTATTGTGTGCAACTGCACCAACCTACACACGCTGCTTGACGCGCACCATTAAATATACGGTATACTACCCTAACCTCCTGAGCTTATAATCTTGTCATTCGGGTGCGCCTCTGGAAGTTGAGCAAATGCTCACCATTCACCACCTACAGCCGACCAGAGCAGTGCTTTACTTTGAGTCAAATATCTCCGGATGCGAAGCCTTAGGGACAACGGGACACTATGGCCTGCTGAACGAGTCACCTCCTGAATACAGCACAGATGCTAGCTGCAACGCATGCAAGCAGAGTGGCTTCATAGGAGCTCGAGAAATAAAATATGTCAAAAGATGGCTCAGTTCAGAGAGAAGTTTGGAGCTGTAAAACGCTGCTTGAAGCCTTCATGTACGCTTCTGCTGGAACCTTCGAAGACACACTACAGTAATCAAATGCCAAAACAACTGAAAAGAGATGATTTTTTCCCTGAAGTTATTTGTTCTGTGTCGCAGGTTTTTCCGGACAACCTAATATTTCAATCTCTCTGCGTTCATGAAAGGGAAAAGGAAACGAAAATTACTAAAGTGAATATTTCGCTTCGAGTTCAGCGAATGCTTTTCAAGGAAGGTCAGAGAATTAATTCTCAAGTAAAGCATAAAAGACTATTCTATGCGCGACTATGTTTATAGCATGCTGTTATGAGCAAAGTAGATTCCTTGTTTGGGCTCAGGGACGCAACAGGAGTCCGCAATCATCACTGCATTCGTACTATGGGTTCTCTGGCCAGATAATGGCATATATTCTATATCGTAGTTTCAATACAATTCCAATATTTGCGATAATGATAGATATTCACGTCAGTGAGCCGATTAAACAACTGAGCACAAGTGGTATACAAACTCTTTCAATAGTATCGATTATATGGATGCCAGATTGGACCCCGGCAACCGCCGGACCCCCTCTTCCCTGCCACTGCTCTCACATATGTCTCCAATGCCTGCGCACTTGTAAAATGACTGAAAGCTTACTAAGTACCGTTCAGGGCTATTAGGTATTACCAGAACTTGCAAAAAACATATCATACACAATCGAATCTTCGGAGAGCGAACACCCTCCCTCTGCCCCCGCTGCCCACCGCCTTTGTCCCCCCTTTGCCCTTTCCTTCTTCTCCTTCCTCTTCTCTTCTGCCTCCTCAGCTCCACGCGCACCATTTAGAATGAGTCTGATTGGCTCGATCGATTATATACTGTGTTTATTTACACATCATGAAGCCGAAATCAACTAGCCTCCCGGTTCTGCTAACGGTTGGTCCGGACGGACAAACGACACACATACACACCGAAAACTGTCACAGCAAAGTTGTGGTTTATACAGTAGCGGCCAAAAGTGCTGGCCGAGACGATTTCTCGTGCATTATCTTTTCTCCCTTGAGCAACACTCTCCAAAGTTTGATATACTATGTTTCCTAGTGTTTTTATATCCTTGAGTCTCAAAGAATTAATGAATATTGAAAGAAAAGTCCGAACCACCATCTGATTTTTTTTTCCTGGCAAAAGAAGAGAGGAGCACGAAAAGCCATTCCGGCGAACACTTTTGACCACAATTGTATAATGAAGTGACCGAAGGGCCAGGGCACTCGTCGAGAAGCGATGGCCGAACCGAATCGATAAGGAGAGTTGCCCCCGATAAGAGGGAAGAGGGTGTGCCTTGGTCGCACATTAGTACTTGAGCAGATAATGAACGAACCACCCGTATGCACAGGGGTCAGGAAATCTATTTCTGGACCATCTCTTTTTCAGTTTAAGAGACTGGAGGAACGCAAAGGAGCCAACCACTTGGTTCAAGACACTCGGTAGATGAACGCTCACGAACGCAGGTTTACATGCCACCTCCCCCCGCTCATCAGGTGCGATAGCCTATGATTGGCCTGGAGCGGCCTTCCCATCGTCGCAGCGCTCACGCTGCGCAGACAACGGGAGGGAAACTCCCTAGCAGTTGGCAGTTTGCTTCACATTTTCGTAGTTACGTTCCCCTCGTTGAGATGCGCAGAGAAAACGAGAGTGAGAGGCGAGCACGCATGGAAAATCGATTACACGTGACATTGCGCGCCCAGTGCCAACGCCCCAACGTCGAGAGCGTTACGGTATACGCCCTGTGTTCCTGATACGATATGTACATAATTACGACTTATAAACAACCTCCTTTATGGGCTCTGAACCACATGAACAAAATATGATTTGAATACCGGATGAAATGAGAAGCAAGAAACAATTCATGTAAACAATAAACACTACACGACAGATATGCCTCCCCTCTTGAATTGGCTGTTCCAAGCCTTTTACTACCAGTGCCATGGGGTGGAAATGTCCGACGGAAGCTGGAGTGGTGATTGATTCCATTCCTTCTGGAACTGTAGCCTCCTGAGTGATGGTGATTCCGAGTCCTATTGCGATATTGCTGAAGTGCGGTTGCGCTCCCTATTTCGGCGCGACATTGTTCGGTCCTCGACACTGACTTCTCGACGTCTCTACTATCACCACTTTGATCCTCAGTAGCTATCCGGCGAAATCGTCGTTTGGCCTCCTTAATGCAGCGATAAGGGTGAAGATGGATGCAGATCGTGGCAGATGGTAGCTTCGTTCGAGAAGCGTTTGGCTTGCGCCGGTGTATAGGAGGGTACTCTTGTTTCGCGCCGCACTCCGAGCATACAATAAGGTGCTCGTCTTTCGCCCGATGTCTTGCGTGGCAACAAATCGAAAATGCAGCGCCTCAAAGCGGGCCTCTGGCGTATAGTTTCTTCGGCCAGATCTCGCATGAGTTCACGCCTCCTCATTCATAGTCGTCCTGGGGGCCTGCAAGCAAGAACAGATCCTTGACCTTAGTGACACATTTCAGTATATCCATCCAGGTTGGTGCGAACAGCAAAATAGAGGATAGTTCGGTGCTGAACCAATGCCGTGAGAGATTTCTCGGCTTTTGTAGGAATACGCCACTTGCAGTTCGTGGAGAACCTCGATGTGGCTTTCGAAGCTAGCCGGCAAAAGTACAAGCGTGCTTTTGCTATGAATTCTTGACGTATATCCTATCTCTATCATCCGAGGTCCAAGGAGAGTCGCACTCTTTCATTCGGACTTCGCCTTCAGCCTTCACACGGTGTGTCCCTTGCCTTTCTCAGTTCTTCAAAGACCTTGTTGAACGACAGCATACGGCCTTCTTCCGCAAGTTCTTGACATTTGCTTTTGCGGATCCTACCAAATTCGAGAAGGATGTCCCTTTTATCGTGATCACTCCATACCGTTGGGAAGTTTTTCATATACAATGCTCTTCTAGAGGCGTGAGCAGACCTTCTACCGTCGTAGTTGCTGAAGCTTTGAGCAAGCTTTGAAAACCCCTTCGAATGCTGACAACACGATTTGGTGGAAAACACGGCAACCGGCAAATGGTAAGTGAATTGGATGACTCACCTTGTCGGCAACGGCAGCATGAGTTAGGCTGCTTTCATAGTTCGCGCATGCGGGTGCGGTCGGTGCCGTCGGTGCCGACGGCGCCGACCGCACCGACAGTGCGAAGAGCGTCAATACGCGCTCTGGCGCATGACGCGTACGTTGGGCGCAGATGGCGCGCTCCGATCGATAATCTTGGTTTTGGTGTATTTCTTGTCTTTTTCGATGTTTTTTTTGCGCAGTCTTCCTTTTATTAGTGTGTTTTCTGTTCATACTTATTCTTTTTATGTCTTGATGAAGACTTACTTTTCAGTTGTTACGAGCGACGTCGTACAACCCCGTGTGAACGTGGCTTCAAGACCCGGTGAGTTCATCATGAGCAATTTTGTTTATTCGAGTGAACTGTATGTTTCCAGTAGTTGCTTTCTCTTCGATACGATTTCCTGCTGGTGTGCGAATAATTAAATTACCAAGATCCGGCGGCCTTTCGCACACCAGCAGGAAATCGTATCGAAGAAAAAGCAATTTCTAAATTTATAGAGTCCACTCGAATAAACAAAATTGCTTATGATGAACTCACCCAGTATAGCCACTCGGGGTAGTACGACGGGGTTCAACGAAGTCGTGGAAACGAGAACTAAAAGAATAACTATGAGCAGATAACACACGAATAAAAGCAACACGGCGCGAAAAAAAAATCGAAAAGCACAAGAAATACACAAAAACCAACGGTATCGATCGGAGCCCCCCATCTGCGCCCAGCGCACGCGCTTCCATGCCGCCCCAGAAGGCGCGAATTATTTGGGGGACCGCTCCGCCTTCAATGCCAATCCGGCGGTTCGGTGCCAAGTCCCGGCGCCGGCGGCGCCGTCGGCACCGACGGCACCGATGCGAACTATGAAAGCAGCCTTACAGGATACGGTGCATATGTCGCTTGATGTCCGTGGGGGAGGGGGGAGGAGCTCAGCATACGCCCATCCTTCTGATTGACTTTGCTGCAGGCCTGAGATTAACTTTAGCCACAGTGGCTTCTCCACTTCGGTGATGGTGCATTCGGCTTGGGTTTACAGCAACGAAAGCAGATTTCGGAGCAGAATATCGGAGCCATTAAGGGCAAAAGTCGGCTTCGGGCATTATGGTGCCTGAAACTGATTTTAGAGGTGCGAAGTGGAGCGATAGTGAAGAAAAAACGAAAACGTCAAGAAGGCCTAATACGAGACCCCCCTCTTCAACAGCAGCGAAGAAGGCGGGCGTAGCAGAGAGCAATTCCCGGACGACAACTCGTCCGGACATTGGTGGCATCAAGCCAGCAGTTGATAGGGAATTCAATACACCTTAGTCAGCTGATGTGTGGCTGGTTTTAGGTTTGCTTTGGTTTTTTTGCTTTTTGTGCCAATTCTTATCTTTTTTCGATGTCTCTTCTTCTGGTTCTTTTTTCTCATGTGTTTTAGGAACTAGCCAGTGAACTTTCGGACAAGCTCACTAATCGAAGGTAATATTACGAATTGTATTTTTCCATTTTCCTAGTTGTTTTACTCGCATTGATTTATTTCCTTTCTAGATGTTTGTTGATGTTTTGTTTGTGTTTTTTGTAGATGTTTGGATGTGCTGAACTGTTTTTAGCAGCTTATTTTGGACCGTTCGAAGGAGGTACGTGAAACTCATACCTTGGCTGTGCAAAGTCAAGCAGTCACCTCCCTAAAAAGACATGGCAAACCAGTACATACTAAAGGATTTTTAGAAAAGTTTACGGAACCCGACAACGAAAACGAACAACAAAATTATGCTAGAAAGGAAATAGGAGAAACGGAGGCTGAAAGGATAAGGAGGCTAAAAATGATGTTGTTCGCGCCGCTCCTCATGCATATCATCCTACGACCCACCAACGAACACGCGGGTCCCGCCCTATGCCAGCCATGCACCACATCCCAAGGTGGGCGGTCGTAGCGGGCCAGGCGGATAGCGCCTAGTAGCCGTTCGAGATTTTGAGCGTGGGAACATCTGTACGGGTGCGTAACCAAGTACAGACATGACCGAAAGGGTTGGTTTGGTCAACTAATCCCGACCTTTGCCTTCAATTCTCTTTATTCTTAACCTTAATCAGTAGTAGAACATAGTGCTAGAACAACTCAGCGCTTTCAGCACGCGAGCCACGGCCTCTCGCATGAGAAACGGCAAACCATGCCCCAACTGACGTAGGGGGAACTTGCATAGTACCAGCCAGCGCAATCCCCACCATGCCATTTTCGAACGTTCACTCTACCTCCGCAATAGCCTCGTGCGTTGCGCTTTGAACCGCAGCCAAAATGTTTGCCTTTTAGTGTCGGCAATATTCCACAGGTTAGCGCTAAGCTACTCATCCACAATATGAGCTCAGTTAGAATAGTAATCCAATAGCTAACCTCTTGGCTGCCCTGCACTAACCTCTTGAGCCGTATCCATCGGCACTATGTACTTGTGGCTCGTCACTGCAATATTGATGTTCCGAGATAGCTTGCCCCCCCCCATGTTAAGCCTAGATGGCGCACGGGAGTCTACAGTCACCCGTCTTTCATCGGATCCTGTGGGTTCTCGTGGGCCGCGGCTAGTGATTGACATTATATGTAGTTTCGCAATCTCAAATACAAACCAATATATGCAATAATGACAGATGTTCACGGCAATGAACCGAATGAACAACTGAGCATCAGTGGTATACAAACTCTTAGTACCGATCATACGGACATATTACGACTCTGATCGAAGTGTACTCGTCGGAGTCGCGATGGCTGAATCGATTCGAAGAGGAGAGAATGCCCCCAATAAGAGTTAAGGGGGTCTACCTTGATCGCACAGCAGTATCTCGAGTTGAGCAGATAATGAGCGAACCACTCGTAAGCACAAGTCAGGAGTCTTTTTCTGGACCACCTCTCTTTCAAAATCCAAGGGAGCCAACCGCTACGTTCCAAGACACTACGTGTAGACAGACATGACGTTCTTCTATGGAATGAATACAAAACCTCATAAATGAATCAGGCGAGCAAGAAAAATATGAGTGTAACGGGCGCTTGAAAACATATATCCCCACAGTCCGACATGACCTACAATGCGCGGGATATACACTGGTGAGAAAAACTTAGAAGCAAAAGTAACTTTCACACGATGTCTGGTTGCCAGCTAACCTAGGTCGATCAAATGTGGCACATACAGGGGTGGCCAAAAAAAAGAGACACTTTGCCCATGGCGCACATCATCGAACTTTTCGTCGCACAGGGAGCCGATGTTAATGAAAGTTTTACGGCGAATATTCCTTAGGTGTTCCCCCGTAAACAGAAGCAGGCCCTCCTTCACTGCCCCCGCCGTCTTCAGAATATGACGTCATCTGCCGCCACCGTCGAGCTCAACGAGGCTTACCGTAATCGCTCCGGCCT